CTCTTCTAGGTAATCAGACATCCTGTCATGTTCACAGCTACAGTTGGGATACCTTTGTTAGCACGTTACTCTCATGTTGGAAGAGGACGCTCAGTGTTTTCCCAACTGAACCCTTTCTAACTGAGTAACACAACGTCTCTTTGAATACAACACGGCTTCAGATGTTGATTTAGATCAAACTGTCAACCTGGTGAATGGAGGATAAAACCGTTCAAACTTCCTGTTGCTGTCTCTTAATGCTCTCTCTGATTGGTGTGTGTGTGTGTGTGTGTGTGTGTGTGTGTGTGTGTGTGTGTGTGTGTGTGTGTGTGTGTGTGTGTGTGTGTGTGGTGTGTGTGTGTGTGTGTGTGTGTGTGTGTGTGTGTGTGTGTGTGTGTGTGTGTGTGTGTGTGTGTGTGTGTGTGTGTGTGTGTGTGTGTGTGTGTGTGTGTGTGTGTGTGTGTGTGTGTGTGTGTGTGTGTGTGTGTGTGCGTGCAGGAGGAGCGTCTGCTGGAGAGGGAATTCACAGGTTGGAGGCTTCACGGAGAACCCACCGTCCTCGTCACTCTCGCTCACATCTTCAACCACTTCGCTCCACTCATGGTGAGAGAAAGAGTGTGTGAAGAGGAACAAAGTTCACATGCTTCCAGAGTAAAATCAAACTCATGAATTAGTGAAAGAAACAACTCAAATATTCTCTGACATTAGTTAATTAAAAGTGGTAAATTAACCAAAAATAATTATACTGTTATAATAATAATGTACACAATATTTAGTATTTATAACTATCACATGGTTCCAGAGTATAAACAAATACTCAAGGTGGAAATAACAGAGTGTTATGGATGTCTGTAAAAACATCAGAGCTTTGGCTCCATCTGGTGGTTTAAACTAGAACGGCACTAAGTGTGCACCTGTTGTGTAAAGTGTACCTAATGCTTGTATTTCTTACAGTGTAAAGTGTACCTAATACCTGTATTTCTTACAGTGTAAAGTGTACATAATACCTTTATTTCTTACAGTGTAAAGTGTACCTAATACCTTTATTTCTTACAGTGTAAGGTGTACCTAATACCTGTATTTTTTACAGTGTAAAGTGTACCTGTTGCTAGTATTTCTTACAGTGTAAAGTGTACATAATACCTTTATTTCTTACAGTGTAAAGTGTACCTAATACCTGTATTTCTTACAGTGTACCTAATACCTGTATTTATTACAGTATAAGGTGTACCTAATACCTGTATTTTTTACAGTGTAAAGTGTACCTGTTGCTTGTATTTCTTACAGCGTAAAGTGTACCTAATACCTGTATTTCTTACAGTGTAAAGTGTACCTAATACCTGTATTTATTACAGTGTAAGGTGTACCTAATACCTTTATTTCTTACAGTGTAAAGTGTACCTAATACCTGTATTTCTTACAGTGTAAAGTGTACCTAATGCCTGTATTTCTTACAGTGTAAAGTGTACCTAATACCTTTATTTCTTACAGTGTAAAGTGTACCTAATACCTGTATTTCTTACAGTGTAAGGTGTACCTAATACCTGTATTTTTTACAGTGTAAAGTGTACCTAATACCTGTATTTTTTACAGTGTAAAGTGTACCTAATACCTGTATTTCTTACAGTGTAAAGTGTACCTAATACCTGTATTTTTTACAGTGTAAAGGGTACCTAATACCTGTATTTCTTACAGTGTAAAGTGTACCTAATACCTGTATTTTTTACAGTGTAAAGTGTACCTAATGCCTGTATTTCTTACAGTGTAAGGTGTACCTGGTGGAGGACGTGCTGATGAACTTCCTGCTGGGCATCCTGGAGGGGGGGGGCTCTGTAGACGAGCACCCTCTCATCCAGCAGCTCCTGGATCTGTTCTGGCTGCTGATGGAGGTACAGTTAAAGTTAAAGAGCTTTATTTTCCATCAGATTCCTCAGTTCTATTTCTACGTTGTTCATATTGTTTTTCCCCTGCAGGACTATGAGGTCAGCGAGTGTCTGAAGCAGCTGATGATGTCTCTGCTCAGAGCTTATCGTTTCTCCCCCATCATCCCAGACCTGGGCTTCCAGGTAACACTCACTCACTCACTCACTCACTCACTCACTCACTCACTCACTCACTCACTCACTCACTCACTCACTCACTCACTCACTCACTCACTCACTCACTCACTCACTCACTCACTCACTCAGGGTCCTTCTCAGGTCGATTAAATGGATTCCTTGCATCCCTCACTTGCGTCGTTTCCCTGCGTCTAGTCCCCCCCACCAGGGAAGCATGGAGAGACTCAAGGAAACCACGAGAAGCAGGGAAATGAGTTTTAAGAGCAATGGGACGTCCTTTCCTCCGGAGCGTCACGTGAAGCGACGTCCGTTTGTGATGACGCTGCACAGCTGATCGTCTGACAGCAGCTCTGTCCCCGTTGTTTTCACAAACACCCCCGCCTCTGTTAGTACACATTTACTGACACAAACATTTGTATCATCTGTTGTAGACTCAAATAAATCAAATCAAATAAGAACTCATTCTCAAAAAAGATAAACGCCATTCTTAAAATGTATAAACGAACAATAGTTGGATTAATATTGATTATAGAAATAAAATAACTGAGAGAAGAAAGAGAGATATATGTTATCTATCAAAACCCAGTGAGATGAACATTCATTGGATTGCACACTGTGTTTGTTTGTGTGGATATGTAGCACATTAACATGTTAAATAGCACTTAATGACTGACTGAATGGAAATGACAATAAATGAAAATGTAAAACGAAAAAATCGATCATGAAAATGTTTCCAATAAATGAATAAAATGATTTTTGAGCACTTAGTAGTTCAGATATATCACATATTTGTAACTGAATGATGCATTCATTGAAACAAAACACAGTATGAACTGAGGAGTGAGTCCCGTGAGTTTCATGTGTTTTCTTCACTCCGCTGGGAAACTGCTCTCATGTCAAGAAGCATCAGATCAGTGCATGCGCTGCATCGTCCAATCAGTGAGCGATACACAGTAAGGGGGCGGGGCGAGTGTCTGAGGATTTCATCGAAGGATGGTCTGGTGGTTCCTCCATTATCGCTCCTCGATCCTCGGTCCTCGCTCCTCGCTCCTCGATCCTCGCTCCTCGCTCCTCGCTCCTCGCTCCTCGCTCCTCGCTCCTCGATCCTCGATCCTCGCTCCTCGATCCTCGATCCTCGCTCCTCGCTCCTCGCTCCTTGATCCTCGATCCTCGCTCCTCGCTCCTCGCTCCTTGATCCTCGATCCTCGCTCCTCGCTCCTCGATCCTCGATCCTCGATCCTCGATCCTCGATCCTCGCTCCTCGCTCCTCGCTCCTCGCTCCTCGATCCTCGCTCCTCGCTCCTCGCTCCTCGCTCCTCGCTCCTCGCTCCTCGATCCTCGCTCCTCGCTCCTCGCTCCTCGATCCTCGCTCCTCGCTCCTCGCTCCTCGATCCTCGCTCTTCGGTCCTCCGGCAGAAATAAGAGCCATGGGATGCTACTCAAGATGGCGCAGACAAATCAACTTCCGGTGAGACCGAGACCGAGGAGCGAGGAAATGAAAATAGTCGACCTGAGAAGGACCCTCACTCACTCACTCACTCACTCACTCACTCACTCACTCACTCACTCACTCACTCACTCACACGTACACACACATTTAAACACACTTAAACACGCACTCACTCACACATCTTACGAACTAAGGAGAACATTTATTCAGTTTTTTTAAATACCTCACGTGTGTACAAAAACAGAGTACACAGTTTGATGAGTATATTTAACTGTGTGTTTCAGATCCACTACCTGCGCCTCACCACAGCCGTCCTGAACCACGAGAAGTCCAGGAAGTACCTGCTCAACAACGTGCTATATCCTCCAAATACTGTCATATTGTACTAGGATCTAAGGGTTATATTGTAGTACTTCAGAGTAGTATGCTAGTAGTATTATAGTATTACTTCAGAGTATTATTGTTGTAGTATTATTGTAGTACTTCAGAGTAGTATGCTAGTAGTATTATAGTATTACTTCAGAGTAGTATGCTAGTAGTATTATTGTATTACTTCAGAGTATTATTGTTGTAGTATTATAGTATTACTTCAGAGTATTATTGTTGTAGTACTTCAGAGTATTATTGTAGTATTACAGTAGTAGTATTATATTAGTATTCAGAGTATTCTTTTAGTAGTATTTCAGTTATTGTCCCTAACTGACTCACGTTTGACGTCCTCCGCTCCGTGGTCTTCTTCTACATTAAAACTCCTCTCAGAGTGAAGGAGGCGGGGCTAGAGGAGCTGATCCCTACAACATGGTGGCCTACACACTTTGATAAGGAGGTAACACACACACACACACACACACACACACACACACACACACACACACACACACACACACACACATCTTTATTTATTGACTATTGTGTTGTTGATCATTATCTCTCAGGGTGAGACGAGCTGAGCTACAACTGAATCTTTATTAATGAATAATGATGATATTAATGATTATCTCTCAGGGTAAGGATGAGCGCGAGCCGAGCGATGAAAGTGCCGACGAGCGTTTGAGACGACGAGCGTACGAGAGAGGCTGCCAGAGGCTGAAGAAGAGGATCGAAGGTCTGTTATTATTATTATTACTGTTATTATTATTATGAAATGTATTATTATATTTGTCACTTTATTTAAAGTGGACCTATTATGCTATATGCCTTTGTAGCTGCTGCTAGCCACGCCCCTTTGTAGCTGCTGCTAGCCACGCCCCTTTGTAGCTGCTGCTAGCCACGCCCCTTTGTAGCTGCTGCTAGCCACGCCCCTTTGTAGCTGCTGCTAGCCACGCCCCTTTGTAGCTGCTGCTAGCCACGCCCCTTTGTAGCTGCTGCTAGCCACGCCCCTTTGTAGCTGCTGCTAGCCACGCCCCTTTGTAGCGTCACACAGCTTTCCCCTGCTACCGGGAGAAGCTCAGCTAAACGCTGCGGTGATTAAATGACATGTTATGCTCCTTCAAGCTTTATTTCTGAAACAGTAAGGAGCTCAAACCTTTCTCTCTCGCAGGGTTTACCACAAGGACATTACGTGACACATATTCTCTCCAGTAGCCTACAGCGTTAGCTCCATGGTTAGCTCTGAGTGTTAGCATGCTTGCTAATGTAAACACAGAGCATATTACTCCCAAAACACGCCACGCATTGTTTCTGATACAGCACATAGCTTGACATGTTCTTTCTTAAGTGTTTACCGCTAGAAGAGTGCCATTATATGTATTATATATACAACTCTACTCTAAGTGCCTCCTGCAGACATCCTGCTGAATACACAGACACGCAGCTGCGACTGTATACGGAGACGATAGGTTGGGACGTGTCACGTGTGCCGGAGACAGAGGTCGCGTTAACCGAATAACTTCCGTCTATGACGGATTTCTTTTAACAATGACAAAAAAATCGGAAAGCAGTCTGTCCTTTTGACAGATTAGAACAAACTCAGAACAGCGCCAACGTTTTCCCGCAGCGAGGCTGCGGTGTTATGCATGCCCGCCAAAAAGGAAATGATACCGTTTCCAAACCTAACTTTGCCGTACAAATCATTGAAATGTCTGTGAGCTTTGGCTTTACGCTGTGCGCGCTCCCGCAAGGTGCATAACACGGCGCTAACAGTTCCCCCCCCCGTTGACAGTTCACGAGCATGTTCTCTTGACACACCGGGGACACACCGGGACACACGGGGACACACCGGGGACACACCGGGGACACACCGGGGACGCACCGGGGACGCACCGGGGACACACCGGGACACACCGGGACACACCGGGACACACCGGGGACACACCGGGGACACACGGGGGACACACAGGGACACACCGGGGACACACCGGGGACACACCGGGGACACACCGGGGACACACCGGGGACACACGGGGGACACACAGGGACACACCGGGGACACACCGGGGACACACCGGGGACACACCGGGGACACACCGGGGACACACCGGGACACACGGGGGACACACCGGGGACACACCGGGGACACACCGGGGACACACCGGGGACACACCGGGGACACACCGGGGACACACCGGGGACACACCGGGGACACATATCTCTGTAGAAAAGACATAAAAAAGTGCATTTTGAATGATAGGTCCCCTTTAATATGAAATGTTATATGAATATTATGCATTTGAATTATTCCTCAAATTAAGATGTTTGCACATAAATCACCTGGATTAAAAATAAATATATCTTTATATTTCAGGTGAACTTAATTTAAATAATAAATACAAATGTGTCACTTTGAGTCAAAATGGAACTTAAATTGAATTTTTTTATTTTAATGTTTGACACAAAAAGAAAATAATTGTTGTAAAAAAATAATTAAAACACATTTATTTTGTATTTCCTGGTGGTCTCAGTGGTGGAGGAGCTGCAGGTTCAGATCCTGAAGCTGCTGCTCAACAACAAAGACAAAACCACGGTACCTTCACTAAAGATATATATTTATTACATATATATATAATTCTTGTTAATTATTACATGTTATCTCGTTCTTTAAAAACACAGCTTACACATGTGTGTGTGTTTCAGGGAGAAGCCTCGCGTTACATCTTCCTCAACAAGTTCAGGAAGTTCCTGCAGGAGAACGCCAGCAACAGAGGGGTGAGTCCTGCTGTCTGACGCCTTATTAAACACACACACACACACACACACACACACACACACACACACACACACACACACACACACACACACACACACACACACACACCACACACACACACACACACACACACTCTCTCTCTGACAGTATGTGTGTGTCAGGGTTTCTGTTAGCCGATCGGCCGCCGGTCATTATCGGCTGATATTCACTCTTAATAGTTTGATCGGTGCTCTCTATAAAGGCCGATCAGGAGAGCTGGATCTGATCCATATGGACATGAACGAGAGTGAAGTATAACCGGACGAGAGAGAGAGATCAGATCAGCTGCTGAGTCTGACGGAGACACGCAGCTCTGCGTGATCACCTGAAGCCCCGCCCACTATATATATATATATATATATATATAGAGATATATATATATATATATATATATATATATATAGAGAGATATATATAGAGATATATATAGAGATATATAGAGAGATATATATAGAGAGATATATAGAGATATATAGAGAGATATTGAGAGATATTGATTCTCCCGTGTTATTATCCAAACTTAAAGGTGGGGTAGGTAAGTTTGAGAAACCAGCTGGAGATCTCTAGAATTTGAAAATACACAACCGGAGAAAATCTGCCACTTCCTCACAGAGCCCCTCCTCCAACACACACGAACGCGCACATGACCAATGAGGGCACGAGATAAGTTTGTGCACAGATGGAAGGCTGACAGGCAGGTAGGCCATCCAGTTATTTTAGCCGGGCCGGCTCAGATGATTGGTCGTGCTTTTTACAGTACTACAGCTTCCACAGATGATATTTCTTTATGGATTTCTTGTCAAAGCACTTCAGATATTCATTGCTATCGGGATGTTAAGAGCATTCCATGGAATATAACAAAAAGTGTATCTCCAGCCGGTTTCTCAAACTTACCTACCCCACCTTTAATTGTAAGCTTTTGAATAATGTTCTTCATCTACAAGTAGTTTGTTTGAATGTAATAATGATGTTGTTTGTGGAATCATTTATTGAAAAATGAATCTGAATTTTTCGATCTGTTACGATTATAAACTGAAGCAATATAAAAATGACTCTCATTAACTGAGTTTTAAACATCAGCATCTCCGCTCAGAGTAATTACCTGCTAACGGAAACTCTGCTACACAATTCTTATTAGGGTCTGAGACCTAGGTCGGCGAAGACCCTATTGAAATCGGTCGCGCAGCGACCGATAAACCTTTGACCCCCGCAACACATGTGAAAACTCACCAAATTTCGCACGCGCGTCAGAAGTGGTGCAACTTGCGATATGTAATTGGTTCCGGAACTTTGCGTAAAAAATTGCGTAGGCCACGCCCACTTCCGTTTTTAACGTAAACTCCCCCCACTTTAACTTTCACGTAAACGAACGAAACTCGCTACGCATATCTAGGGTGCGGAGACGAACAAAAAAGCCTCTTGGAGGGGTAAAAAATAACGTACAGGAAGTCGGCCATTTTGAATTTGGCGTCGAAAAAACGGGATTTATCGCGTTTCTCGTCCTCCGCGCAAAATCTATCTTCTCCCAGGGACTTTATCCGTACGACTCGAAATTCGTCGGGTAGCGTCTCCAGACATGGGCAATTCAAAGTTATCACGGACGTTTTTTTCTTTCGCACGGCGCAGCCGTGATTTGGCGCCAAAGTTCGCGTTCGCTCGATGCTAGGCCCATCAAACGCCATGGAACACGATGATGTCATAACTCAAACTGACATGCTCACAACGCCACCAAACTTCACATGATGGTTAACACTGTGGCCCTGAACAGCTCTACGTCAAATTTTATGTTACTTAATATGGCGTTACCATGGCAACGAATCCCTCGCCATAAAACACGGTGTCGCTGTAACTCCAATGGACACGGTCCCATCGTCCACCAATCTTCACTTTTATATCACCGGTCCATGCCTCAACAGCTCTACGTGAAATCTGAGATCTCACCGTATGCCGTTTCCATGGCAACGCATCCCTCGCCGTAAAACACAATGTTGTCTTAAGTCAATGGAAAATGGTCCAAACTGCACCAGACTTCAGATGACAGTTAATGGTCCGGCCCTCAACAGCTCTACGCCGATTATGGGATGTCATCATATGCCGTTGCCATGGCGACAGATCCCTCGCCATAAAACACAATGTTGTCTTAAGTCAATGGAAAATGATCCAAACTGCACCAGACTTCAGATGATGGCTAATGATCCAGCCCTCAACAGCTCTACGCCAATTATGGGATGTCATAATATGCCGTTTCCATGGCAACGCATCCCTCGCCGTAAAACACAATGTTGTCTTAAGTCAATGGAAAATGGTCCAAACTGCACCAGACTTCAGATGACAGTTAATGGTCCAGCCCTTAACACCTCAATATGACAAAAGTGAGTTTTCCTCAAAAGCTGTTGCCATGGCAAGGTATCCCTCGCCATTAAAATACAATGTTGTCTTAAGTCAATGGAAAATAATCCAAACTGTACCAGACTTCAGATGATGGCTAATGGTCTGGCCCTCAACAGCTCTACGCCAATTATGGGATGTCATCATATGCCGTATCCATGGCAACGCATCCCTCGCCAAAAAACACAATGTTGTCTTAAGTCAATGGAAAAGGTTCCAAACTGCACCAGACTTCAGATGACAGTTAATGGTCCGGCCCTCAACAACTCTACGCCAATTCTGGGATGTCATCATATGCCGTTTCCATGGCAACGCATCCCTCGCCATTAAACACGGTGTCGCTGTAAATCCAATGGGCACAGTCCCATCGTCCTCCAATCTTCACTTTTATATATATTTCTGCGTGAAATCTGAGATCTCACCATATGCCGTTTCCATGGCAACGCATCCCTCGCCAAAAAAAACGATGTTTCCGTTACTCCTATGAAAATCATCCAAACGGCACCAGACATCAGATGATGGCTAATGGTCCGGCCTTCAACAGCTCTACGCCAATTATGGGATGTCATCTTATGCCGTTTCCATGGCAACGCATCCCTCGCCAAAAAACACAATGTTGTCTTAAGCAGGGGCGTCGCCTGGACCTGAAAACATTCGGGGCTTAGCCCACAGTGGCGGCGGCACTACAGTGGCATTTTTTACTGCAACACTCCCCACACGCACACACACACAGTACACTCGCGACTGTTACAATGAAGGCTCGATAATCAGCTCACGGCATATAGGCAGGGGTAAAGTGGTATTTTTTATGAGTGGGGGGCTCACCTCCTCTAGGGGGGTCCGGGGGGATGCTCCCCCGGGAAGATTTTTTTTTAAATATTGAAGTTAAATGCATCAATCTGGTGCACTTTGAGAGCAAAATGAAGAGATCTATGGATACCTCTCTCAACACCCATATGAAGCAGAACTGTAAACAGATGTACTTTTTCTTTATGGATATTTTACTAATCACTCCCCTTTTAAACTCTATTCTTGTTTTACTGCCATATAGTATTTCATAACTGTTTTTCCTTTATTCTCTTATTTTTTTTATAACTATAATGATCATATGAAGGTGTGCCGTGGAAATAATCTTTTGAATAATTTGTGACCAAACCGTTTGAGACCCACTGAGATAACTTAGACTAAAGTTATGTATCTAAACACTCAGAGAGTCCTTTAGCTCACCTGAGTCTCTCAGTCTGAGAGGAGAGGACTCTCCTCCAGCTTCTTGTGGAAACAGCTCCTTATGTCCATTAGTGCAGCTAGCAAACCAGATGCTAACAACACGGTCCATGCTGGCACCGGTCCCTCCCTCCCCCTCTCTCCCTCTCTCCCTCTCTATCACACTAAATGCGCTATTGCCACACACACACAGAGCCGAGCTTGAATGACACAAGCACACGTTTATTTCCATGCAACTCTCTGATTGGTCTGGTGTCATGCCTCTGTTGCATTCACTGAACACGGGAAATTACAGTGCTGCCGTCCTCTCTTGTGTCATGATGAGGTTCACGTAAAGCACGGTTAATGTATTATATTATTGAGGGAGAATTGTCCGGGGCTAGAGAAAAAACATTCGGGGCTAAAGCCCCGGATGCCCAGGCCAGGCAACGCCACTGGTCTTAAGTCAATGGAAAATGATCCAAACTGCACCAGACTTCAGATGATGGCTACTAGTCCGGCCCTCAACACCTCAATATGACAATAGTGAGTTTTCCTCTAAAGCTGTTGCCATGGCAACGCATCCCTCGCCGTTAAGCATGATATTGCTATAACTCCTGTGTAAATGGTAAAAAAGTGTTCAAACTTTACATGTGTGCTAACGGTACAGCCCTAGAGACATATATGTGTCAGTTTTGAGATTTCGTCAAATGCCGTTGCCATGGTAACAAAATGGTCGCCGTGAAACACGGTTTTCTCATAACTCCAGTTAACATGGTCCAAACAGCCCAGAACTTCACAGGTTTGATAACGATGCAGCCCTCAACACATCTAGGCATATTATGGGGTGTCATCAAATGCCGTTGCCATGGCGACAGATCACTCGCCATCAAACACAATGTTTATGATACTGCTGTAAATCCCATGTACGTTGTCCGATCGGCCTGAAACTTTCCACGTTTGCCAACGTTCGAGTCCTCGAGACACCTAGACACACACCTCGACGTGCGGACAACAGCCTGCGGAGCGTCGAAGACCCGCTCAACGCTGCTTGCAGCTTTAATTATTATTATTATTGAAACATGACCGGTAAGTTTCAAATATGTCCGGTAAAATAAATTGTGTGTGTGTGTGTGTGTGTGTGTGTGTGTGTGTGTGTGTGTGTGTGTGTGTGTGTGTGTGTGTGTGTGTGTGTGTGTGTGTGTGTGTGTGTGTGTGTGTGTGTGTGTGTGTGTGTGTGTGTGTGTGTGTGTGTGTGTGTGTGTGTGTGTGTGTGTGTGTGTGTGTGTGTGTGTGGTGTGTGTGTGTGTGTGTGTGTGTGTGTGTGTGTGTGTGTGTGTGTGTGTGTGTGTGTGTGTGTGTGTGTGTGTGTGTGTGTGTGTGTGTGTGTGTGTGTGTGTGTGTGTGTGTGGCAGCACCCCACGGCTCTGTGTCCTCCGGAGTACATGGTGTGTTTTCTGCACCGCCTCATCACGGCCGTCAGGATGAGTTGGGACGAGGGCCGGCGCCAGAGCGAGGGTACACACACTTTATTATTATTATTATTGTTATTATTAATATAAAAATGGTACAATTGGAAGAATGTGAAACACACAGACACGTATTCATCATTATTCATATTGAACCCTCACAAGTCACAAACTGCAGACGGCTCTTTGAGTCGAAACAAGACATTATTTTTAAACATTTGAAATGAAAATGATTTCCTCAGTTTCTCAGAGACTGTGTTCCTGCACTTTCTCTATTGATGATGTAATGAATGCATCTCATGCCCCCCCCCCCCCTCAGAGGCCTACGTCCCCCCCCAGCTCTTCTACAACGGGAAGGTGGATTACTTCGACCTTCAGAGGCTGGGAGGGCTGCTGTCACACCTCAAGAAGACCCTCAAAGGTGTGTGTGTGTGTGTGTGTGTGTGTGTGTGTGTGTGTGTGTGTGTGTGTGTGTGTGTGTGTGTGTGTGTGTGTGTGTGTGTGTGTGTGTGTGTGTGTGTGTGTGTGTGTGTGTGTGTGTGTGTGTGTGTGTGTGTTGTGTGTGTGTGTGTGTGTGTGTGTGTGTGTGTGTGTGTGTGTGTGTGTGTGTGTGTGTGTGTGTGTGTGTGTGTGTTTGAATCAGATTTATTTTGTTGATCTCAATGAACATATCTGCAGTACAGACGTATATCAAAGTATCTCTAGAATACACAACATGAGATATAAATGTTTCTGTGGTGCTTCTGATTTGACCTTTTTCTCCTGAAATGTTTCAAAGTGATAAATGTATTAATATTAACATTGTATTGTGTTGCAGATGATCTTGCGAGTAAAGCGAACATCATCATCGACCCGGCAGAGATCCAGGCGTCGTCCATGGACGACCTGGACGAGGACGAGGAGAGCGGAGCGGCACAGGTCTCTATATATTATTATTATTATTATTGTTGTAATTATTATTACTGGTTTATTATTTATTGATGCATTATTGTAAAATTAACTTTAATGTTGCAAAAGGACGAGGCTTATTTTTCAAAATAAAAGTCCGAACAGAGAGTTCAAGATTAAGCTTGTTTTGAAAATAGATTTTCATCCTATTTTTGTGAAAGAGCAGGGTCTCGGTCAGTAGGGGCTTGGTCTGTGAGCCGTAGGGTCGCCGGTTCAAGTCCCGAACAGACCTAAATATGGAGAGTGGACTGCTACTTGGAGAGGTCCCAGTTCACCTCCTGCCCTGCCCTGGTGCCCTTGAGCAAGTTTTTATTACCATTATTATTATAATTACTTATTTTCCACTGTAAAAAACTAAACACTCAAATAGAAAAGGGATTAAGTAAATATTTTATATATATGCTTTTTCTAGCTGTTCAAAATAAATGTTAAAAGTTATTCCTGAGTTAATTATTATTATTATACACTATATATATTAAAAGGAGTAAAAAAACTAAACGAATTAAAATTAATACATAAAAGGTTTAATTTTTGAGTTATTTATAATGTTAAGTTACAAAAAAGATGATAAAAACGCTCCTAAATATCATGTATTTGTATTGGATCTGTTATCCCTGACGCTAACGAGTGTGCTATCCCTGACACTAACGAGCGTGCTATCCCTGACACTAACGAGCGTGCTATCCCTGATACTAACGAGCGTGCTATCCCTGATACTAACGAGCGTGTTATCCCTGACGCTAACGAGCGTGCTATCCCTGACACTAACGAGCGTGCTATCCCTGACACTAACGAGCGTGCTATCCCTGATACTAACGAGTGTGTTATCCCTGACACTAACGAGCGTGCTATCCCTGACATTAACGAGTGTGTTATCCCCGATACTAACGAGTGTGCTATCCCTGACACTAACGAGCGTGCTATCCCTGACACTAACGAGTGTGTTATCCCCGATACTAACGAGTGTGCTATCCCTGACACTAACGAGCGTGCTATCCCTGACACTAACGAGTGTGTTATCCCCGATACTAACGAGTGTGCTATCCCTGACACTAACGAGTGTGCTATCCCTGACACTAACGAGTGTGCTATCCCTGACACTAACGAGTGTGTTATCCCTGACACTAACGAGCGTGCTATCCCTGACATTAACGAGTGTGTTATCCCCGATACTAACGAGTGTGCTATCCCTGACACTAACGAGTTTGCTATCCCTGACACTAACGAGCGTGCTATCCCTGACACTAACGAGCGTGCTATCCCTGACACTAACGAGCGTGCTATCCCTGACACTAACGAGCGTGCTATCCCTGACACTAACGAGCGTGCTATCCCTGACACTAACGAGCGTGCTATCCCTGATACTAACGAGTGTGTTATCCCTGACACTAACGAGCGTGCTATCCCTGACATTAACGAGTGTGTTATCCCTGACACTAACGAGTGTGTTATCCCTGACACTAACGAGCGTGCTATCCCTGACACTAACGAGCGTGCTATCCCTGACACTAACGAGCGTGCTATCCCTGACACTAACGAGCGTGCTATCCCTGACACTAACGAGCGTGCTATCCCTGACACTAACGAGCGTGCTATCCCTGACACTAACGAGCGTGCTATCCCTGACACTAACGAGTGTGTTATCCCCGATACTAACGAGTGTGTTATCCCTGACACTAACGAGTGTGTTATCCCTGATGTGTCCTCCTGTCAGCGTCCGTTTGGCGCGGCGGTGGGGGGGGCGCTGGCCCGGCCCAGCTGGCTGAGCTCTCCAACGCTCGGACGGGCCAATCGCTTCCTGAGCACCGCGGCCGTCAGCCTGATGACCCCCAGACGACCTCTGAGCCAGCCCGAGAAGGTCAAGGTCAGGACGCTGGCCGTGGAGCAGCGCACAGAGGACGACAGTGAGTAAAACACACCTAAATATATACAGTATATATACAGTATATATACTGTATATACTGTATATATACTGTATATATACAGTATATATACAGTATATATACAGTATATATACAGTATATATACTGTATATATACTGTATATATACTGTATATACTATAACATGGAGCAGCGCACCGAGGACGACACATAAATAAATCAAATCAAATGTATTTATATGTCCCAATATCACACAACACGTTGGTCTCAGTGATCTTTACAGATTAACAAACATAGATGACAGTGTTAAGACAAATAAGATTACAAGAAAACCTTAAGCAGACGGATAGTGAAATTCAAATTAAACATCTAAAAATAAAACGCGCTAAAATACAACAAAATGACAGTAAAACAACAATATATATATATATATATATATATCGACGCTCGTGAACTGTCAACAGGAGGGCGGGGGGGCCTCGTTGCGGGGGAGCAGTGTGTGGACCTGTCAGCGCAACTTACTTGATGCCGAATTTAACAAACACATTTAAATAATTGGTTTAAACGGCTTAATAATAAGGACGATGGTCCGGTCTGTGATTCTCCAGAACACACATGTGATGATATTAGGGTCATGCAGACTGAGATGAGATCGCTGTCCCTTTGAGAGAGAGAGAGGGGTGTGGCGTGTGCATGTGTGTGTGTGGACGGTAGAGAGAGAGTGAGCGAGCGTGTGTATGTTTCTGGAAGTGAAACGAGGCAGCAGAAAAACAGAGGTCTGTGATGTATTTTGTGAAACAGAAGAACAGCTAAATAAATGCAACGGCCTCTCAAGAAGAGCTCGCCTCTCTTCAGTCATTTCAGCTAAAGTGGGTTATTGAACCTGAAGCTTGTTGCTTCTGCCCTCCTCGACTACGGTCTGGGAGCCGACAGGAAAGTTCAACACACAGATGGCCAGTCCGCCCCTTTGTAGCATATTATTTCAATGAGAGATGAGCAGATCGCCACTGGGCTTTCAACTAAAGACACAGCCACGCAAAAACTGTGGTATTCGTACAGCTCCTTATGGGTACTGCAGTTTGTGAAGTGCTTTCCTCTGTGGTGAAACGATCAGCCCTGCACCACGGAGGAGAGCGGCAGAAAGTCGCCTGGAGTTAAAGAGAAAAAAAAAGAGAAATCAAATTTAAATATTTTGCACACTTATTCCACTTGTTCCTAGTGTGCCACTGGTTACGGTGCCGACCCCTGGCTTAGAGGCTAGTTTTACATCTGCTGTTCATTAGCCTGAAGGTTTCCTAGAATAACAAAAAATAAACAATATGAGTAAAAAATGTGATGGTAATTTGTGGTAAGAACGCAAAATGTTTACACTTTGACTTTATATGCGAATAAATTGGAAATAAAATAATGAAATTATTATTAAAAAAATCACAGCTTTGTATGTTTATTTTATTTTCAGTTTACATTTTTCAATATTTATTTATAGTTTTTTGATTCAAATTTGTATTTTATTAATTTGAAATGCATTACATTTGTAATGACCTGTGCAGTGCCTGCTTTTCTGCTGCTGCGATAATTTAATTATTTCCCAATTTGGATCACAAACTAACAGACAAGTTAAATAATTAGAATAAAATAAAATAAAAATGTCTTGTTTTTTTGTGCAAGTTGAAATCAAGAAGAGGGCTGCTCGTTCCGCTTTTTGCTGATATTATTTTATATTTACCCGTCACTCTCTCTCTCTCCCGTAGTCGAGGGTAGCCATGGTAACGACGGGCTGTTGCTGGGGCGACCGATGGAGGAGCCCGAGCAGCCAATCGCTGACAAGTCTCTGCTGGAGATCGTGGACGGGATCGTGATGATGTACAACCTGAGCGTCCACCAGCAGCTGGGCAAGGTCAGGGAGTGGGACCCTTCCTCAAGTCAAAATCCTGAAGAAGTCAAAATCCTGAGAAAATTCTGAAAACAGCAACAATCTGCCAAAAATGGTCTAAGCTCTGAAAATAGTAGAAATTCACAAATAAGGAAACAATTCTGAAAAAAAGTAAAAATTCGGAGAAAAAAATGAATTCCGTAGAAATTCTGAAAACAAAAAAGTCAAAATTCAGAGAAAAGTAAAAATTCAGAGAAAAGTCAAAATCCTGAAAAATGCAATATTCTGCCAAAAATTGTCAAAGTTCCTAAAGTAGTAAAAATTCTACTATAAATAAATCCTGACAAAAAAGTCTAAATCCTGAAAAAGTCAAAAATTCTGAGAACATTTAAAAAATTCTTAGAAAAAGTCAACATTTTGTAGAAAAAATTAAACTCTGTCAAAAATGGTCAAAGTTCCGAAAATAGTATAAATAAAAAAGTCAGTCTTCTGAGAAAAGTCAGAATTAAAGGGGCAGCCATTTTGCCAGTGCCTTGTTCCCAGGCCAAGTCCCTACAGACTGAGACACCGGGGGTGTTTCTCAATGTCGAGTAAAGCTGCTCCAGAGCCACTATTTCAAGCATACGTCATCGAGTCCCGCCGAAGGACTGTTCCAATCTCCAGTATACTTGGAATTCTACCGAGCCCGGGCACATGTGTAGACTCCGCGGTCTTTAAATCCCCACAATGCTTTGCGCACGGACCAATTTCCCCAAATCTTTGGCGGAAAATTTAAGGCGGGGCCTCTCATATGACGCACACCTGCACACTTGCTCGCCTGTTCCACTCTTCGTTTTCCGAGGCTAGGAAGTATTCTTGTCTCGCTTCTGAAGGACAAAACACCCTGGGGTGTTTCTCAATGTCGAGGACGATTCCTTGGTAGCACATGTCTTCCGAGTCACTTGCTTCAGAAGCGAGGCAAGAATCCTTCCTGGCATTCGGAAAACGAAGAATGGTGGAACAGGCTAGCAAGTGTGCAGGTGTGTGTCATATGAGAGGCCCCGCCTTAAATGGAGCGGGATTTCCGCCAAAGATTTGGAAATTGGTCCGTGCGCAAAGCATTGTGGGGATTTTAAGACCGAGGAGTCTACACATGTGCAGCCTCGAAAGTACGCCGGCCTCGGTAGAATTCCAAGTATGCTGGACATTGGAACAGTCCTTCGGTGGCACTCGATGACGTAGTATGCTTGAAATAGTGGCTTTGGAGCAGCCTTCCTCGACATTGAGAAACACCCAGAGCCATACAAAATTACAAAAAAAAGAGAAAATTCTGTAAAATGTCAACAATTGACAAAAAATGTTGAGAAAAGTACAAATTCTGAGTAAACATTAAAATTCTGAATGAAAGGTAAAAATTCTGAAACATTTTTCAAAATTCTGAAAAAATGTTCAAAATTCTGAAAAAATGTTCAAAATTCTGAAAAAATGTTCAAAATTCTGAAACATTTCAAAAGTTGTCAAAAAAGTAAAAATCCTGTAGAAAAAAAGAAGTTCTGAAAAAAAGTCAACATTCTGAATAATGCAAAGTCAAGTCTCAGTTCCTCCCAGGCTGAATGAAGTCATCTGACCATCGTCAACACACAAGCTTAACAAACTGAGATGATTCCCAGATGTTTGTTGACATGAAGCTAATATCAGTCAGTCTGACTCTCCTCTCTGCAGCGTCACATTCAAACAACAACAACAACAATATGTTTTATTTATGTTTTTCTTCCTCCTCCTCTCTCCTGACCTCTGACCCCTCTGTTATTGTCCCGGCTCTCTCATTTAGAAATAAACCCATCAGAGCAGAACACTCTATTTCTATCCGTCTCCATCTCTGCTGTGAATTACTCGTTGTTTTCTTGTTATGATTGAGGTTATTCAAACCCCGGCTTCTGATTGGTCCTCATCCCAGCAGACTGAGGGACTTCAAATAGAGCAATTTAGGTTTTAATAAAAGTCGTCCAGTGGCTTCTTATTCAAAGTTTTAGGATTTACAAAAACATCTTTCTGACACCAGCTGATTATTTGTAAAGTTGGGGGTTCATTTTCTCCCTAAAGTCTCTGTGAAAAGGTTATTTATTATCCGTAACATGTCTTTAGGTGTGTGTGGTACAGTGTGTAGGTGTGTGTGTGGTACAGTGTGTAGGTGTGTGTTGTACAGTGCGTAGGTGTGTGTGGTACAGTGTGTAGGTGTGTGTGGTACAGTGTGTAGGTGTGTGTGGTACAGTGTAGGTGTGTGTGTGGGGTACAGTGTGTAGGTGTGTGTGTGGTACAGTGTGTAGGTGTGTGTGTGGTACAGTGTGTAGGTGTGTGTGTGGTACAGTGTGTAGGAGTGTGTGTGGTACAGTGTGTAGGTGTGTGTGTGGTACAGTGTGTAGGTGTGTGTGTGGTACAGTGTGTAGGTGTGTGTGTGGTACAGTGTGTGTGTGTGTGGTACAGTGTGTAGGTGTGTGGTACAGTGTGTAGGTGTGTGGTACAGTGTGTAGGTGTGTGGTACAGTGTGTAGGTGTGTGTGTGTGTACAGTGTGTAGGTGTGTGTGGTACAGTCTGTAGGTGTGTGTGTGTGTGTGTGTAGTACAGTGTGTAGGTGTGTGTGTGGTACAGTGTATAGGTGTGTGTGTGTGTGTGGTACAGTGTGTAGGTGTGTGTGTGGTACAGTCTGTAGGTGTGTGTGTGTGTGTGTGGTACAGTGTGTAGGTGTGTGTGGTACAGTCTGTAGGTGTGTGTGTGGTACAGTGTGTAGGTGTGTGTGTGGTACAGTGTGTAGGTGTGTGTGGTACAGTCTGTAGGTGTGTGTGTGTGTGTGTGTGGTACAGTGTGTAGGTGTGTGTGTGGTACAGTGTAGGTGTGTGTGTGTGTGTGTGTGGTACAGTGTGTAGGTGTGTGTGTGGTACAGTGTGTAGGTGTGTGTGGTACAGTCTGTAGGTGTGTGTGTGTGTGTGGTACAGTGTAGGTGTGTGTGTGGTACAGTGTAGGTGTGTGTGTGGTACAGTGTGTAGGTGTGTGTGGTACAGTGTGTAGGTGCGAGTGTGGTACAGTGTGTAGGTGCGAGTGTGGTACAGTGTGTAGGTGCGAGTGTGGTACAGTGTGTAGGTGCGGTACAGTGTGTAGGTGTGTGTGTGGTACAGTGTGTAGGTGTGTGTGTGGTACAGTGTGTAGGTGTGTGTGGTACAGTGTGTAGGTGTGTGTGGTACAGTGTGTAGGTGTGTGTGGTACAGTGTGTGTGTGTGGTACAGTGTGTAGGTGTGTGTGGTGGTACAGTGTGTAGGTGTGTGTGTGGTACAGTGTGTAGGTGTGTGTGTGTGGTACAGTGTGTGTGTGTGGTACAGTGTGTAGGTGTGTGTGTGGTACAGTGTGTGGTACAGTGTGTAGGTGTGTGTGTGTGTACAGTGTGTAGGTGTGTGTGTACAGTGCGTAGGTGTGTGTGGTACAGTGTGTAGGTGTGTGTGGTACAGTGTGTAGGTGTGTGTGGTACAGTGTAGGTGTGTGTGTGGGGTACAGTGTGTAGGTGTGTGTGTGTACAGTGTGTAGGTGTGTGTGT